TACTGTGATTATCTGGTCTAACGCCCCCACAACTATTTAGGCATATTCCATCTAGCAGAAAAATATGACACGAAAACTTTTATTCCATGTAATTAGTAGCTAGTATGTGACCGTGACGACCAGAAGTTGAAAAATATTAGCTATGGCTGCACGACATCTTTTGAACCATCATCACCACCGCCTCGTCAGGCTTATACATCTACCCGCCCTCAGGCCCAAACATCACCGCCCCGTCAAGCTTGGAGATCACCTACCCATCTAACTTTGATATCATCTCTCCCCCTCCAGCTTCAACATCATTGTTTCAGCAATCGCCAGTGTCCCCGCAGATTCAGACATACTACTTTTCTTCTTCGGAATCCGAACCTTTTCAGGATTTCGGCGATTCCTATAAGCCCTCAGAATCCGACAGTGAGGGTGTTAGAAGTAGCTTAGCCGGCGATGATGAAATTGGAGACCATCCCTCATCGGACAAGAATGAAATGCTCGCTGTACCCGATTTAGCTGACGTTTGGGGATCTTGTAAAGACATTCTAAGGAACTTTCCATTTTCTGAACCACATGGCTTGAAAGTGGACCACTTGGATCTTTCTCAACCTTATGAAATATATAAACAGTTTTTAACCGATGAGATTTTGGACAAAATAGTTGTGGAGGCAGATCTATTTGTCAACTTCCGCGTCGATCCTTGTTGCACAAGTGGACTAATATCAATAAAGCAGAGATTAAACGTTTTATTGCAGAGTTGATAACGGGTATCAACAAGCTACCTCAAATGCGTTTGTACTGGTCCAGTAATGACATGTACAGTAACGAATGAGTAAAAAAGACAATGACTCGCAACAGATTTGATCTGCTTTTCATTGTTCGGACAGCTCCATCCCTAAAGCTGGGAATGACAGGCTCTTCAAGATAAGGGATGTAATTGAAATGTGTTGTAAACAGTTTCAGGAGATATTGGAGCCAGCTAAAGAACTTGGGATTGACGAGAGCATGGTCCCTTGGCGAGGTAGACTGCTCTTCAGACAACATCTTCCAGCAAAGTCACACAAATATGGAGTGAAGCTTTACAAAGTTTGCGCATCTGAAGGCTATACTTATGACGTGAAGTTTATCCAGGAAAAAGGTAGTAAACAGCGGCAGAATCATATATACAAGTGTAAAATTGGGCAAAGATCTAGAACGCCAAATATACATTTGCGGGAAGGGGGTAATCCAAGGGACGTTTGCTCGAGAAAACTAAAAAAAGGAAAATCCTTCGGCCTACAGAACAAAGACGGTATTCGAGTTACAAAATGGCTTGATAAACGCCCTGTAATAATGAAAATTTCGGTACCTACCCATACCGACCAGTTAGTGGCAACTGGCACTAAACACAATGGAAATGACGTAATGAAACCATCCGCCGTTATTGCATACAATAAAGCCAAAAAGGGTGTAGATATATCGGATCAGATGTCATCGTATTATACTAGACAACCCTAAGGAAAAGCATTAAATGGTATAAAAAGGTTGCATTTGAGATTTTGAGCATTGTAAACTCTTTAGCTGTTTATAGCTGCAATAGTAAAGGCAAAAATAAGCCAATTGATATGTTTGCTTTTCGGAAGAAAAAAATAATAGAAAGATTTTTAAATGATGCTCAAGAAACAGACGGAGAAGTGAAAAATGCAGAGGATAATGAGCAAAAAAGAGAAAAGGCGCGTGGAAAGAGCAGTCATCGGATTGGAAAACATGAAGGCACAGCTAGGAGTAGCAGAACACGTTGCACAGTATGTTATAAGAGAATTCAGAAGGAGAAAGGAAGTAAACAAGCAAGAGTGAAAGCGTCAAAAGTGTTAACATTTTGTGAAGATTGCGATGGAGCTCCAACCATGTGTATTCCTTGTTTCAAAAGTGTCCATGAATAATATTTCTTAGATTGTAAGTTTTTTATCTCCATCATGATCTGTTATAGGATATACCGTTTAATGCATTTACATAGGAAATGAAAAGATTTTTAGTTTATAGTACCTTATGTAAGTTTCGAGAAAGTTTATTTTTTTGGTTCGTATTTCGTTTCTTGTTGTTTTTTCGAGCAACTGTGTAATAATTTACACTATATCTATTATACATTAACATAACAAATAAAATGTTATAAGTAATTAAGATTTTTGTTCATTATTGACTGAATAGAATTACAAAAAAGTGTATTTATTTTGCTTAGTAGCCTAGGTGGGTTACTGACGCTCACCAGAAAAACTTCGCGTGACCCACATGTGGGTCACGGTGTCGCGAACGTGTTAACTTTCTCAGGTGACGACATGCTGCCTCTGTAATTACGTACCCTTTTGGAAAGTGTGTATATATACAGGGTGAGTCACACGTCGTAACCAAAAATGAATCATCATACACAGGTCCGCATTTTAAGAGGGGTCTTTTTTGTTACATTTTTGCCTCGAGGCTCCATTAAAAAGATACGGGGTGTTGAAGTTTAAAGTTAAAAAACAATTTTCTCAATATCTTCAAAACCGCCCACTGGAGTTAACTAAAATTTGGTGTGTGGATTTACCTAAGTCTTGTCCACATTCAAAACCCTTCAATAAAAATTAACGTGCCTCGCCATTGGAGATACAAGGGATTAGTGGCATTATTTTTACAAATAAAAATAGTACGCCACTGTTTTTTCTTTTGAAGCGCGCAATTTTTCACATTTTACCTTCAATTTGCTACAAATAATTACTCTTTTGCTTTTTTCTTATAGTGCATTGTTTTCGAAAAAATAAAGAAAAGAAATTAGATAATTAAGGCATTATTTCAATAAATGTTCAGAAATACCACCATTCTGACGGATACAAGTGCGGCATCTTCTTAATAACGAAAAACGTATTTCCACAAAATTTGTTGTGGCTTGAATTTTTAATTAAATTGTTCAGCATACACTAGTTTAATAGCGCCACACAAAAAGAAATCTAGGGGGTTCAAATCAGGAGACCTCACAGGCCAATGTACGGGTCCGTTTCTGCTAATCCATCGCTGTCTTATATGATTTTTTCAACCATACGGTTATGCCACGACGAACATGCGGTGGGGCACCGTCGTGCTGATACCACATTCATACCCCCTTTGTTAACGGAACATCATCTAACATGTATGTAATTCTCTAGAAAAGCTAAGTATGAGTTTGCATTTAAACGTTATGGCAACACGTGCATAAGCAGTTGGCCATTGAAAATTCCACACCAGACATTTCTAGAAAATCTGTGTTGAAACGAGTGGATTCTTACAGAACAGGGATTTCCTAACAACTAAATATGTTCATTATGAGAATTAAGATTTCACTCCTCGTAAAAAGCGATTCATCTGACCACAAAACCAAATCAATAAAATCTGCATTTTGATTATGCATTTAAAGTAACTACTCACAAAAATTTCGCCGTTGCACTACCTCGCCGGGTTGCAGACATGCACATTTTGCCGATGGTAAGGGTGTAAAACTTCCCGATTTAGAATTCTCCACGCAAGACTTTGAGAACATGGTAACTGGGCTACAATCCACCTAGTACTTGTACTAGAATCATTCAACCCCAAATTAATCATTTTCAGTTTCTCTTGAACAGTATGCCGAAAACTATGGCCTCTAACTCTGGGAAGTTTGGCGATTTCATATTGCCAAAGTCTTAGAAATGTACGCGTAAAAACCTTTGTGGTAGGTTGGCGACTATTAGAAAATCTACGGTGACACTCCCGAGAAGCTTCTAAAGCATTTCCATTACAAAACCCGTTCACAATAATAATATCGACGTACTCATCATTGCTAAATTCCATTTGACAATACTCAAAAAGGTATTTAGCTCATATTCAGATTATGTTATCGCCTAAAGGTAAAAAAGTGAGAATTTTGATGTAGTTTCTATTTTGAAATCCCATCGCAAAGTCTTTTGAAAAAATGGTTTCTATCATCTATCTAGGAATTGCAAAACTCTCTACTAGTTCTTTATTTACCTAAGTGCGCAACTTTGGCTCCATTTGACCAACTTCGTATCTCTTACCGCTTCCGAGAGCCCAACAGTGAGAGAGTCGAATTTGAAACACTCGGTATATAGGGTTAGCGATCTCTTTCTTGAAACCTCATAAGCCTGTCGTTGCCTACGTGACGTGAATGTCCTTGCCGTCACCCTTAAAGCCGCGTTCTCATTAGTCAATCTTATTGATCAATAATAATGAATCTATGCTATGGAAGTGAAATAGTCTAATGTGAACATCCGTTCACCATATTGCTCTATCGATTTGCGTTTTAATGAAAAGTGAAACTCATTTATACTTGTCGTGGCTCTGCGGGACGGATTCAAGCAAAATGAACAGTGGTTGACCGTAATAAGAATACGAACGCCAGAACGCACAATTTTTTGCTTTGGAGCCATTTTCAAACCAACATTATAGAGTGAATATTCAATATTTACGAATCAGTGTTATGAAATGTGCCATTCAATTCTATGTTCAATGGCATAGATTGATTCATTATTATTGATCAATACGATTGACTAATGAGAACCCGCCTTAAGTTGGCCAGTACGTTCAGTTGCTCTTAGCAATTCCAAATCATTGCAGATGTCACTGTAGGGCTCTTTGATTTCTGACTGCCATATGTGGCAATTCTTTCAATTCCATACGTTCTTTCTTTCCAATGTCTGCTACCAGACTATCAAAGCTCTTCTCGCCTATCAGCTGGGAAGGAAGAAGGGTATAGAAAAGAAGAATCTGCACCCGTAGATGTGATTACGTCTTCCTTCCGAACTGTTTATTTGTTTTTGCCTTGCTCACGCAACACTACCGCTAACGACGTGTTTCCTGTCGATAATAACTGTTATTTTTGCATGTATTCTGCCTCGTGAGCAATTAAAATGGAGTCACTCCCATGAATTATGCAACACGCGATCATTGTGAAATATCTACCATTGGAATAAGCTGGTTATGACGGTACAGTTAGATGCATAATCTCGTTGTGACCCTTACTGTACATGAATCAAGCGGGTGTACTTACGGTATCAACTGAAAGGTCGCTGAAACTTCAAAAAATTATTCAACTAGCATTTTATAATTCATCATTCGAGGATCTAAAGCGGGGCAGAGGTGTGTTGATTTCCTTGTCACACCACGGCTATCTTTGCCAGAAGCTTTTCCTATAGTGCTGCTAAGCTATACAACTCCTTGCAAGATGTCCTCAAAGACCTGTCACTTGTCAACCTTAAGAAAAGGTTGAACTACTTGCTGAACAATTAGTTGATGTCTTAGTTACTTAGTCTCTGGCTATGAATCAGGTTTATGACTTGGTTTATCATGCTTTATGCTTATTTACTTTGTTTCATTCGTTGAAACATTTCTCATTCAAATTATAAAATATCATTAGATTACTATCATATATATATATATATAACTTGAGACGTGGTCATTGTCGTCTAGACCAGTTAGGTGAAAAATTAAAGCTTCCGCATTTTGTTGGGTACTTCGACAAAATTTAAGCAAAGAGGACTCTTTATACTTTTTTAATTCTCTCTAGCTTTCAATGGACTTTGCCATCATCATCAGGAGCTGCAATTACAATGATAACAGTAGCAACAAAAGTGTAAAATGAATTTAAATTGACTCAACTTACAGTAGTATGTGAGGATGTTGCTAATTGTTGTTTACGTATAGGATGAGGGAAACGTCCAGTAACATGGTGAGAGCTGGATAGATGGTACAATGGTCAAAATTATATAAAATATGACAAGAACAAGTTAAAAACAGATTAAAAATTATTTAAAAACATTAGAGCGTTACATCGTTAAGCCACTTGATGATTGCACAAAATGGTGGTCATGGAATAATGAGTGAGATGAACCCTTTGACAGAAGGCCGAAGGTTGTCAATGTCTGTGTTGAAAGATGGAACGAATTGTGGGCGTGTGCCAAACGTTGCCAAATCACTACAGATGATGTGATTTTCAGAATGTTATGTAAGAAATTGTTAAACCGAACAGAGGCATTTGAATAAACTATATTTTAATTAATGGGAATTTAAATTAACAATTATTAATAAATCGTGAGAAGAGAATTATTAGATATTGAGTGGAATGAAATTTACTGGTGGAATCGGCCAAAACACAGATTCTATTTATGGTTGTGAAGAGTCGAAATTTGGGGAGATAAAAGTTCTCCAATTTTTCGCAGTTTAGCAAATATGAGTAAATGACACTCAGTTGTTTAACATCTCATCAATTTTGGCAGAATATGTCATGGATGATCTGCTTGATACTGTTATTCCGACACTACCCTATAACCTCTTCTTCATAAAAAAATACGTAGATGACATTATTTTATGCCTCCCCTCCATAGGTCTGGATGGTGTTGTCAGAGAATTCAACAGCTATGACCCCTACATCCAATTTACCATTGAAAAAGAAGATGAGAACCTGTCTGTCCCCTTTCTAGACACAAGACTCATCCGCACCAACAACAACAGTTTATTGGTAGACTGGTACCAGAAACCTATGGCCTCAGGTCGGTTTCTCAATTTTAGGTCATACCATAAGCTAGGGATTAAAATCAATTTGGTAAAACAGATGAAAACAAGGGTAATCAGCATCTCAGATAATACTTTCCACACCTCAAATTTACGTAAACTATCAAAACTGTTCATCAATAATGGTTATCCGAAGTGTCTGATTAACAAGATCTTATTTAGTTCACCTTCCAATATTTTGCCGAACTCTGGTGATGCAGGTAATAGTCGCACAACCCCTAATAACGGAACTGATGTAATTCCCAATAATAGCATCAATCCAAACAGTACAAGCACCAACCCGGACTCCAGACCTGGTTTTGCTGTCCTGCCCTATATCAAGGAACTGACCCCTAAGCTGATCAGATTGTGCAGTTCTTTGAACTTTCGAATTGCTTGCAAATCCGTCCTTACTATAAACTGCATTTTTTCAAAAATGAAAGACAAAGTCCTGCTGCTTGGCTTAACCAACACAGTCTACTCCATCAATTGCAACAACTGCAACCAAATATACATAGGTCAGACCTCCAGATCTCTTAAAGGAAGGATTACATCACACAAAAGTGATGCTAGGCTTCATCCTGAAAGATGCGCTCTAGCATCTCATGTTAACACAACAGGGCATTCTATGAATTACACAAGTATCAAAGTTCTTGATAGAGAAAACACCTTTCCAAACGTTTATTCCTGGAAATGTCCCACATTTTCATGAATAACAACTGTATCAACAAAAAGACAGATGTTAAACAACTGAGTGTCATTTACTCATATTTGCTAAACTGCGAAAAATTGGAGAACTTACATATCTCCCCAAATTTCTACTCTTCACAACCATAAATAGAATCTGTGTTTTGGCCGATTCCACCAGTAAATTTCATTCCACTCAGAATCTAATAATTCTCTTCTCACGATTTATTAATAATTGTTAATTTAAATTCCCATTAATTAAAATATAGTTTATTCATCTGTAGTGATTTGGCAACGTTTGGCACACGCCCACAATTCATTCCATCTTTCAACACAGACATTGACAACCTTCGGCCTTCTGTCAAAGGGTTCATCTCACTCATTATTCCATGACCACCATTTTGTGCAATCATCAAGTGGCTTCACGATGTAATGCTCTAATGTTTTTAAATAATTTTTAATCTGTTTTTAACTTGTTCTTGTCATATTTTATATAATTTTGACCATTGTACCATCTATCCAGCTCTCACCATGTTACTGGACGTTTCCCTCATCCTATATGTAAACAACAATTAGTAACATCCTCACATACTACTGTAAGTTGAGTCAATTTAAATTCATTTTACACTTTTGTTGCTACTGTTATCATTGTAATTGCAGCTCCTGATGATGATGGCAAAGTCCATTGAAAGCTAGAGAGAATTAAAAAAGTATAAAGAGTCCTCTTTGCTTAAATTTTGTCGAAGTACCCAACAAAAGGCGGAAGCTTTAATTTTTTATATATATATATATATATATATAGTATTCCTAACTAATTGCCTTAACTGTTAGGAGAAGATATCCTTTGATTTCTTTGTGTAGAAGGCAAAGTATTGCAAAAGTAAACTCTTAAATAACTTAAACTCTCAAGCTTTCGAAGATCTATGTCCTCATCGTCTGGAGCTGGAAACAATTAATAACAATAGCAACAAATAGCAATTATGAAAAAAATATTTACTTACTAAGTCGGCGAGATTGTTGCTGAAATTGTTTTTAAAACAACACATAGTCAACGAATAAAAAACTGGACTGATGAAGTTCGATTAGGACGGAATTATATTATTATTAAATGGCAAATCATTTTGAGAGGTTTTTTTAAGACAAAGTGTTGATTGATTTTGGAAGAAATTTGGAGAGTTTAAAACTATCAACTATTGAAAATTCCCTCGAGATTTCATCACTTTTTCCACTGATAACCTCCACATTATCCAACACGTGCCGGCCGACTGACATTCTACAGCGGCGTATGAAGTGTGACATTGAAAATTATTGGAAGGTCACCCATTATGTCGTCCTGTAAAGTGTGTTGCCTAATAGTAGGGCGTTTTGTAATATATAGTGCAAGAGGTTGCGGATGAAGTACGAAGATATTCTCAAGCAACTTCTATCAGCTATATATATATATATATAACTTGAGACGTGGTTATTATCGTTTAGACCAGTTAGGTGGAAAAATAAAGCTTCCGCCTTTTGTTGGGTACTTCGACAAAATTCAAGCAAAGAGGACTCTTTATACTTTATTAATCTCTAGCTTTCAATGGACTTTGCCATCTTCATCCGGAGATGCAATAACATTGAGAAGAAATAGCAACTATTGTGGAAAATGATTTTAAATTAACTTACAGTCGTATGTGATATATATATATATATATTTTGTATTGTTTGCTTTTTTGTAGATTATGGTGTATACTTGAGCAAATGTTTAATCTTGATGTTGTTTACCTGGGTTAAGTTGAAAATTAGCTATGTTGACACTTCGCCTTTTTACCTGTGCAACACTGTACTGGGTAAATAGAGTCCTGTTATTATTATTATTATTATTATTATTGTTATTATTCTGAACTTGACCACATCACTGGAGGCGAATTATTTTTATAATTTTAATGATTCTGCTGCGGTAGTTTATGCTGCATCTGAAACCAAATTACAGCTGAAGGTGAATATAGTGCTCCGAGAGTTTGCTAACTGGTGTAACCTAAGCAATCTAATGATTAATCACGGTAAACTAGTATCCATGAATATTAGATCTGTGAGAAAGCAGTCCTGTAACTTGTCTCTTAATAGCCACAACCCATATCGACAGTCTAGAGACAGGCCTGAACTATCGACAGAACCTTCATCCCGCAAAAAAAGAATCATTAGAAAGGAACTATTTCAATAAATATCAACTTTGCTAGAACTATTAACCTATACTCTTAAAAACAAATTTATGAAGGGTACAGGCAAATAATAGCGAATGTCACAATATTTATTTTTTTAGTTTTCTATTGGAAGCAAATGTCAATTGTCTGTATTTTAATTGTCGATCGTAGCCTTTAAAATAAGTAAACATAGGGCGCCAAAGGACATTTTTGTTTATGGCCGAAACGAAAACAACTGTCATACCGGCCAAGAAGAACGATTATCCAAAATGAGGTTAGAATTTATATGAAGTATGCGCTATAATAATAAGTTAAATATGGTTTTTGATTCAGATGAGGGTAGCCCGAGTATTATTAACAAATCGAAAAAAAAAAGAAAGAAGGCTGGTAGAACCGTAGAAGTAATGAAAAAGTCGCGACTTTTTTCTCATGAAGTGTTTTGAAAATATAAATGAAAATAATCAAAGATATATTATTAAATATTTAATTTCATTGGGTAGGGTCAGTGAGCAGAACTTATATTTCACAAGGCTTATAAATGTTTATAATGTGAAACGAAGAAGAAGTAGGAAGTTTGAAGATGAGACTAATTGTCATATAGCCTGTTAAGCATAAATTGCACTCCATGGGATTAGAAAAGGAAAGGTTCAATATATACAAAAAAGCTTAAAATCAAAGAGGAGAAAATCATGAAAAATTGCATCAGAGTTTAAAGAAAAAGTT